AAAAAAAAAAAAAAAAAAAAAACCATCCAAGTGTCAGTAAGCCCCACATTCAAATTTGACTTTAAATAAGGTCATTCACATCATGTTTTTAGACTAAATGTTACATCACATTTCATATAATTTAGCTGATGCTTTTATGCAGAGCAACTTCCAATAAGTGCATTCAACCATGAGGGTACAAAACTAAAACAGCAAGAATCATGTACATTAGTTGGCCAAAGCCAAACTACAAAGCGTTGCATTTAAGTGCAACTTGACTTTGACCATCTCCTCAGCCAAGGTGTAGTCAGAAGAGATGCAGCGGAAGATGTGTAGACTTTCTGCTGTCCTGATGTCAATGAGGAGCTCATTCCACCATTTAGGAGCCAGGACAGTCATGATTTTGTTGAGTGGCTAGGTGTCCCTCGCATTGAGGGAGCAGCAAGCTGATTGGCCGATGCAGAGCGGAGTGGACAGGCTGTGATTTGGCTGTGGTCCTTCTCATTCCAGGACGTGCTGAGGCTGGAGTCGTCCCTGACAGACATGCAGAGAGCCTATGAAGCAGAGGTTTGTGCCAGACAAGCGCTGCTGGCCGAGCTGGAGGAGCAGAAGGAGGTGCAGAAGCAGCTGGATGGGATCCTGACTTGGGTCAGAGAGCTGCAGGCAGCCTGGGTGAAGGAAGGTAACGGCAACTTTGGTGAAAGTTTCCGACTGGTGATGGAGTCGGTAAAGAACCTGCAGGAGGCCGTCGCAGAGGTCTACAAGAAAGCGCCTCACTGAACTGAACTCATTTTGTTTTTAATCTTGTAAGTGACATTCCTCCAGAACTTTAATATTGTTGTTTTTCATTCTCTTTTTTTTAAACAACAGCAGTGCAATGTAAATAATATAACCCATGGATGTATTTGTGCCAGTTTAGCAGATTGTTGTCCTTAAAGTCAAGTACTTTTGTCATGTACCTCCTCTTATTCTCATCGCTGCTCCCTTAAAAACAAGACATAATATTGTCAACTAATTCAGTTCAGCACAAAGTTCAGCCTCAAATATTCAACTCTACCTTCTTAGCAAAATGTATTTGCTTAACTTTATTTGTAACTGTAAGGTTTAATTTAATTGTTCTGGATTGCATTAGGTTGTTGACATTGTTTCTACCAAACTGAACAGCAGTGATGGACAGCAGAGGGCGCTCTTGACATGTTACCTCAGCCAGTCAAATCCACCCATGCTGAAGTGATGAGGCTTCATGATCAATATCTGACAAAAACATTGTAGTTGTAAAATGTAAAGTAGGCGACATTGGTTTAATTGTGCATTTAGAATTCTGGATTATTGAAATTAGTATGTCAAGTTGGTAAAAGTTGTTTAAATATTTTGAGTACTTCACTACACAAACAAGCCCCTACACTGCAGAAGGTCAATTTGGGTTTTTATGTTCAGAAGAAAATTATTCATAGATGTAATCATAAGCACTGTTTTGTAGTATTTCCGTACTGTTGTCGCAGCTTATGTGATGCTTTTCTTTGCATTTTACACTGTTGCACAAGACAGGACGTTGACGTAGGCAGTGGGATACTACTTCTACTACTACTACCAGCATTTGATCCTGTTTCATGACATTTTTAGAGCAAAAACTACTCATTTTTAATTTAAGTAAATGACATATTTATCAAAAATGGAAATAATTCTTATTTGTAGTCTTATAAGAAACCCATGTTAAATTTTATATGCATCAGCAGATACCAATTATTAAAAAATTATTCATGTTTATCATTTTCAATTTATTCTATGCTATGTAAAAAGTGAACATGTACATGAACCAGTAGGGGGCAGCAAATGCATATTGTAATTTAACGTAACATTTGGATTCATAATAGTTTATATTTCTTTACTGTTACGTCTTTTTACACCATAAAAAGAATACATGTGTTTCACCATTACACGGATCAGACTTTGCCCACGACTGCTCTTTAGAATGAACATTTATCTGCCATGTGATGCATTTGAAAACATTATCCCAACACATTTGGAAGTGAATGCTGCTCAGGAACTACAGTAGAGTCACAATGGGTGCGGTAATATGGTTGATCTGTGGATATCTCTGTAAAGCTCAGATCTATAATCAGGCTGGTCAAAACACTTAGGAGAGAAATGAATTTTACTGATGTGGATTCAAAGGTCGAGGGGCTGTAACTGTGTCTGAAGTAAAGCTGCCATCATTATAATTTAATTAAAGGTGAAAACTGCCATCACGTTGGTCTGTGGTTCTGTAGCTGGAGCAGTGATTCATATTGGTGAAGTTAGATTCCAAGCCACAAAAAACAATTGCAATCGGGGAGAAACTGCATAAACAACAACAGGTCCAGTGTAAATAATCAACATTTGTTTTAACATTCCTCTGTGTGTGTGTGTGCGCCACCTGCCTGTTGTGATAGACTGGAGGAATGGTCAGTCCAGATGGAGAGGCGTGAGAACAAGTCATTGTTTCTGTTTGTGTGTTTTTTAATGTGGTAATTAGTCCAGAATGACTTCACTGGAAAATAGATGATCTCACAGGCTGCGGCTGCATTTTTGCGTGTACTAATTTCTTTGTAATGTTCTAATAGTCATACATTTTATTTATAAACACCCCTCAAGACACCAGGAACACTTAACAAATTCAAAAAGTCAGACAACAAACAAGATAAAAGAAAGCACACAAATCAATTCAAACACTATATACAAACAAAAGAAATTTGAGGTATTTAAAAATCTCATCAAATCAATGTTGATTTTAGTTTCAAAGAGGACAGGTTTTGCCTTTAGCTGTTTGAAAAAGCAAAAAGGACAAAAACACAATTTATTCTAATGTGAACAATGAGGCAAAGCTATCCTTTTTCTTATTTTTCTTTCTGCCTTGGCACTATTATTCGAAACCCTAATCCTGAAGTACTCTGCTGTGGTTTCCATGACAGAGCTGTTTTTAATAGTAGACTTCAACATGGTGAGGTCTGAATATAAAACATGAAGCAGGCTTTATATCACGACACTTTTGTGTCAATCTGCATTTATAACTTGCCGCAAATTGAAAACAGAAGTTAAAAAAAAATAAAAACGACAATAAATAAATAGAGGCAAACATGCTGTGTAATATCCGCTGTATAATATACAACCATGAACACTGTGGAGTCATTTGTAGTCAACTCCATCTCTTATAAAGAAGATTGGTGTGTGTGTGTGTGGTGGTGGGGGGGGTAGCATTGATATGTATTCAGTTAGATCTGTTTGTCCTCAGAACTTTCACTGTTGGTTCGACCAGCATCAGACATCTTTGTCAACTGCTTGTAATCTGATGCGACAAGGACAAGAGCCAGAACTGCAGAACAGCAGCAGTTTCTCTGGTGAGAGAATTCTCTCACTGTAGATATTTGGCACCTTGACTTTAAAAAAATGTCTTAACATGTTGTCATTTTCTGCTCAGACCCACATACGTGTGTGTCAGTGTGAACACAGCTCTCCTGAGTGTTGGCCTGGACAACAAATAAACACTGCCCTCCTAATTTGTGTGTGTGATATCGTCTAAAGCCTAAAAAAGATGTTCTCAAACACCACGAGCACAGCTGTGTGAAGCTGGCCGCACACACTGTGACTGCATGTTTGCTGTCAGGAGGCAAAAATAGAATGATGTGAAGGGAGTGAGGAGAGAGTCAAACAGGTGACAGCGAGTGTGTTTGAAGAGAGTGAAAATGTTTGTATTTGAAGGGAGGAGAGTCAAAATACAGACAGAAGGTTGTGGAGGATAAGTGTCTTCGTTTTACAGCAGAGTCTCTAAGTTTCACGCTGCTGCCCTAAACAGCTTTAGCACTGAGGCTGCGTCCACACACAGCTGCTGATCTAAAACTGCTATTGACACGTGAAACCAACATGTGTCCACACGCTCTGTCCACAGTAAAACAGCATCATGAAAGGAGTATATCTAAATATCTTCCTATTTCTCCCTTTTAGTTTTGTTTAAATTGGTCTTATTCATATATTTGTCAGTTTCTCTAATCAAACGACTAAGTGAACATAAGGAGGATTATATGGGGAATTTAATGCTTCCTCTTAACCAGCCAGTGTGGAGATGACACTGTTAGTATAATTGTTTAATCAATTTATTGATCAAGAGAAAATGAATCTGCAGCTATTTTCACTAGCAGTCAATCAGTAAAGCCAATTATCAAGCTGAAATAGTTATCTGAGCTTTGTAGCACTAAATATATATTTATCTTGATGTTCATTTATATTGACAGACTGTTAATATAAAAAACAAGTAGAGATGATCACTAATCATGGAAATATATCATTAGCTACAGCAGTAAACTTCAATAATCAGATCATTACTTGTGCTCTACTGACATTTAAAATGAGTGATCACAGCGGGAAGTTTTCTTCTTTGCTTGAATGAAACAGATCAGACGTGAGGCCTCAGATTGATTCAATCAAACTGCTTCTGACGAAACAACACATGCAGAACTATTGCACACTTTTCATGACGTTTCTCAGTAGATGGAGTTTGTGAGATGTGATCTACATCTGGATCTTAAGTCAACTTTGATCCACTTAAAATGAAATGCTATCTGTGGGTACACTGTTCTGTAAAGTTTGTTTGAAACATTAGTTGTAAATGATCATGTTCCATTCATTTCCAGTGTATAGTGGTAACTTTGGCTTCATGTGGACTGTGAGCGTTGATCCAAATTAGAGAGCAAAGGTTTTCTGATTTCATCTAGTGTTGATGTTTATGTTGCTTTATTTCTTTCTATTGTATTTGCCTTTTTCTTTACAAAGTTGTAGACTCTATATATATTTATTAGTATTTATTATTTTATAACACTGTGTCTTTATTTATAAATTAACTAAAGTGTATGTCTAAGGATCCGTGGATATATAGTGTAGAATCGTGAGTATACTCATTGTGTATGTGTTGTGTAAGTTCATGTGTGTACCTATTGGAATTTGTGACCAATCAGTATAGTGTGTGAGCATGTGAATCTATACGTGTGTGTGTGTGTGTGTGAGTGAAGACAGCATATGGACAGTGCCCTCCCTTCCTGTTGGGAGGGGAACAACGTGGCTCTCTGTGAAACACAGCTTGACCTGTGACCTCTTAGGATCACACACACACACACAAAAAGAGAGAGAGACACACACACACACACATGAACCCAGTTACACAAGTACGCAGATATACATCCACGCTCAGCCAGCCAGCTGTCCTGAGCGACTGACTGTCCCACACAGAGACAGAGAGGAGGTGAGAGTGACAGTGGGGCAGACAGACAGGATTGTTTTCTCAGGCTGGAATTTGCTCTGACTTTTTTAAACCCACGTGTTACTCAGCAGGGAAACCAACACACACAGCAGCAGCATCAGCACACTGTCCTTTCCCTTTCTGACATTTCTTCCAACTGCAGATCCCTGTGACGCCAGGACTTAGGAAGCGACAGCATGTCCTCACCTTGAACAGCTGTGAGGGTTTGAACTTACAGTGAGAACACACTCCAGAGCTCCTCTTGTTTTCTCTTGCTGAAGTCTCAAAGTGGACTCCTGACATGTATGAGTTTGTTCTGGTCAGTTAATGTCCTTCTGTCTGCAGTATACAACACACGTACCAAAGGTTTCCAGCTGCCCTGATGTGAGTTTGTTCCTGAGTGTGTGACAACACAACATTTTATTTGTTGTGCCAATTCCTTGAATATGTGTTTCTGATCATTTTGTGTGTGTGGAAAAATAGTATATCTGTTTGTTTCTTAGTTTGTTTGTCAGTAAGATTAGGCAAAAACTACTGGATGGATTAACATAAAACTTGGTAGAAGGATGTGGTAAGGGTCAGGGAAGAACCTACATTTCTCCACTTTCTTTAACATTGTGAAATAGTGTTTATCAACATTTTCATTGATTTCTCAGAGCATAATTCACGTTCTCCATGAAAAAAGAATAAATCATGTTTAGAAGACTGATAATCTGGATCTAGTGAATTTAAATGTGATTTCATGAGGAGACTGTTGGGCCTGTGCACTCTACTGACAATCTAATGATTTATTTATTGGTATATTTGATAGAGTGCATTTATGAACATTAGTTTAAAATACAGAATGTAAATGTGTAAATGCTGATTTATATCCGTTGACCCTAGGCTGGTAAAAATTAAATATGACTGATGCAGTACAAATAACAAATACAGACACCAGTATACAAATACACATATAGAAAAAAACACCTGCTAATTCCCATTTAAAAGTCATCAAACGTGCGATTTGTCGGACACTCCCTTGTTAAAGCTCTGTCACCATGAGATTTTTTGCCGTTGTTCTTGTTAATCTGACGACCTTTTCAGTTCCTTCAGGTTTTTCTCTTAGTTGATGTGTCTATTGTTGATCACAACCACCCAGTCTGTTGCCTCCAAATGAGCCACAGTTAAGATTGCTTCTACTTTAAAATGCATCATTTTGCGACCTGCCAGTCACAGAGAGGGTTCGGGTATGTGGGCATGTGCAGCACGACACACTAGCCAACAGCTCTGTGTGATTCCAGTGAAGCAGCGTTCTGTGGGTTTTGGTGGTATTGTTGCTTGTTTACAGACCAAACATGAAAAAATAAGAACTGGCCGTGCAAGTGAGTCAAGATTCTCCAGAAACGGATCAAACGATCACATGATCATCAAACCTCAGCATTTTTGTACTGCCTCTTTTTTTCCCCCTCACCACAATGAAGCTACAGACATAGTTTTCAAGTTCATCTGCTTTGAAGACAAAAAAATGTTTGGTGGTTGAAAACAGATTTTAATGAGAACATAAAAACAGATAAAACAGTCGTCTTTTCAACATTTCTAATGTAAGCACATTAGTGTGGAAGTGGCCTGTCTGACTGGTGCTCAGATTGTATGCTGAGCAATGATTCTGCCTGTAGATGCAGCAGCCTTTAGTATCAAGGTAGTAAAATAAGTTATAACTCAGGTGAGGGGATGGCTCAGTGATGAGGGACTAAGTTTTGAGCAGCAGGTCCCAGGCTACTCTCGGCCGGCCTGCGTGTCATTTCCCAACTCTCTCACCCTGTTTCCTGTCTCTCCTTCACTCTCTCTATCAAAAAAAGGCAAAAGGCCAAATATACAGTATACCCTCATTTCAAGTTTTAAGACTTCATTAAATTAGGCAAACTTTGTCAACAATGTCGAAGATAAAGAAAAAATGTAAATGTGAATTTGTCATCGGACACCTAAAAACCCTCTCTGACCTTCAGATGTTCTGAATCCAGCGCCTCTTCCCCCCTGCTCCAACTCCTTGATCCTTTCAGAGGATAACGGCTAAATGTAAAGAGACAAAATGAAAAGAAGGTCAGGATGAACAGAGCGGAGAAAGAAGGAATGAGAGGAGAAAGAAAAGGAAAGATGAGGTGAGAAAAGAGGAGAGAAGGAGAGGAAAAGAGGTGAAGAGGAGCAGAGCAGCAGCTGGCAGGTGTCAGGAATCACAAAGGACCATCTGTCCATCCAGTGCTATCTCCACACACACACACACACACACACACACACACACACACACA